GGGGGTTGATTTAATGAAGCGATGGGAAAGTAATACATCGTGTTTGGAAAAAACTAAAAGAAATAAAAAATATGCTGGCGTCTTACTATCATTTAGAGTTATACCGCACATGTAACACAAATAGGTTATATAAGTGAAGAAGATTAGAGGTGTTATTTAAGTTAAAAAGAAAAAAAAAGAAGAGATAAGGACTAAAAATTATTGACAGGAAAGACAAAGAGGGAACAAACCCTAGAATCACAACCCAATTACGCCATACAATGTGCCGGAGACTAGAGGCGCTACAAGAGAGTAACAAACTCCAAAAAGGGGGAGAGATATAATAATATGTTTGATAGGAAAGAGGGAGCAAGTGAGCGGTTCAAAGTACGATGTTACCGGGCTGGGTGTTACAAGAGAGGAACAGACACAAAAAGGAGGAGAGATATAATATTATGGAATATAATATCAATTTGTTTTAACTTAATTTTGAGTTGTGAGGCAGTGTGGTGAAATCAGGCGCTCGTCAAAATTTCAAAGTGAAGAAAATGGCATTTTCCCGTAGATTTATGAAGTTTAATCGAATTTTTGGTATTTGGCTCAACACCTTCCATACCCATTAAAGTGCACATTTTTGGGTGGATTTTTACTGAAAAACATTTATTAAAGACACAACAAAATGTAAAGTTTCAGTTTTCACGGATTATCAAGCTAAGAAAATCACTAATCTTTGGCGGCCATTTTCTCACTAATTTTCCCTCTGAAACCAGGTGACCCCACCTCCTTCATTCGCAAATATCTCGACTTCTATTCAAGATAACTAGGGGATTTTTTTCATCCAAAGCACGGCAAAAGAACAAGCTTTAAGATGATACCAATAACTCTACATACCCAAAAATTGAGGGAGAGATTGATTCCACCGCGTCCTGACCCATATTTTCCCACAAACTCACCTTACTCCAAGCGTGCTCTGTAGAACTGTGGACATCCCAGAGACGAAGATGATGGTGCTGATGAGCTCCCCCGTCCCCACCAAGTCCCCGTCCAGACATATGGCGCTGCTGATGATGAGGGGGAAGGCGAAGGTAGCCCCGAACGCTGTCAGGAATTGCTGAAGCAAAAGGCGTGTGGAAAACTGATGGTACTTGTTACAATGCTATTCTCCAGAAGTTGTTGTTGTTCATTTTATTGTTGTTCATGTTGTTGTTGTTATTGTTGTTGTTGTTGTTGTTGTTGTTGTTGTTGTTGTTGCTGCTGTTGTTGTTGTTGTTGAGGATTGATGATGGTGATAGTGAAGGCAATGGTGATGGTGATGGTGATGTTGTTGTTGTTGTTGCTGCTATTGTTGTTGCTTTTGCTGTTATTGTTGTTATTGTTGGTGGTGGTGGTGGTGATGGTGATGGTGATGGTGTAGGTGTTGTTATTGTTGTTGTTGGTGGCGGAGTTGTTGTTGTTGGTGTTGTTGTTGTTGTTGTTGTTGTTGTTGTTGTTGTTGTTGATGTTATTGTTGTTGTTGTTGTTGTTGTTTTAGGGCGAACTAGCGCGATTTCGGCTGCTAAATAATACCCTGGTTTTTTGTTTTGTGAGCGTAAGATTTTTGGTTTTATTTTTGTACGAGTTTTACAGCAGACAGTTGCAACACATGTCCGTCGTATAAAAGTGTTCAAAGCCATGAGAGTGGGAAAGAGGTATACGTCCCCCCCCCCCTCCCTCAAAATCCCCTTAGGACAGCCCGAGAGGGAATAGGGAATGCGACAAAATCTGGAAAATAAACAAATATTCAAACCTTAACAGTTAGATTCAACCATTGTCATTCTTCAAAAGTACAGACTGTTCTACTGTATAGTTCAAAGACATTGAGGCTCACAGTATCAGAAGCAAGGACATTGCAGAGCTTCATATGTGGATGTCTAAGAAGGATAGTGAGGATCAAATGGTACGGTCGAGTCTCAAATGCTCAACTGTGGGAAAGAACAAGCCAAAGTCCAGTAAAGGAAGACATACAGGTGAAGAAATGGAAATGGATTGGGCACACCTTGAGGAGAAGCTGAAGAAGGATGCATAGGACAGGCTTCGCTGGAGAAATGTTGATGATGGCCACGGGGAGTTAAGAACGGCAAGAGAGAGAGAGAGAGAGAAAGAGAGAGAGAGAGAGAGAGAGAGAGAGAGAGAGAGAGA